AAGCTAGAGCTTTGAAGTATCACTAGCTGTTAAGTTGATTTTTATGGGATGGTGTTGCCAGCCTCATGCTCAACCTTTCCGCTTTACCAGTCCTATTGTTGGCTTAGCGAATTAAAGGATTCCATCGGCCGGGAATCGAACTCTGAACCACATGAGGCGTGGTTGGTGAACATTCTGTGGTGAGAGCTGGCTGCTAGCTAAAGTTGGTAGACAGTAATTGACGTCAATGTTTATGTCCCCAATATTGGTGGTGAGAAAATGAGAACAAAGGCTTTGCGTAGGCGGATACAGTTAGCATATGGATGATCTGACCCAACCACAAAGAGATGCAAGGTTAACTTTCTGTGAGAAACAACTAATCAAAAGACTGTATTTTCTGCTAACAATAATCTCCAATAATGTACATTAAAATCTATAAATATGTGTTGATTTTCCTTAATAAACGATCTGTTGCCTGACCCTTGTCTTCTGTTGTTACAATTTTACCTCTGTGCCACCGACGCGATAAATTTAGTCTACTGTATTTATTTTAAAAATTACCGACTGAAACAAGAGATTGTAAAACAACAGTGTGATGAGTCGTCAGTTTCTTGCCTTCAGTTGGCGTTTGTTTCCCCGCCCTTTTTTCATTTTTTGAACAAAGTAACAACAGTACATGGAGCAGGATGAAACGGATAAATTACATTTCATTGGTCTCTTATCACCTGTTTGCAAGTCGGATAATTTAATGTAGTAATTTTATTACAATTTTGAAATAAATTTGCAATGAATCTGATTTCAGTATTCATCTTGTAAGCAGGTGATAAGATACTGAGGACATGAAATGTTATCCGTTTCATCCTGCGTCATGTTTTATTATTGCACTGCTTAAATTCACTAAGCGAAATTCGGGGATCAAAATTTCAGTTTTATTTTCTACTTCCTCCATGATCTTCACTTAAAATTTCAATTATGCATTATTATCTTGTATCTTGCCAGCAATTATACACCTCATCCAACAGTTGTACGATGATGCTGCATGTCAAGTAATCCACAACGGGAAACTTACGGAATCCTTCGAAGTGAGGACAGGAGTAAGATAAGTTGGCTGCCTACTATCGCCAATGATTTTCCTGATTGCAGTAGACTGGATAATGTGACAAACATTGGGCAATGAGGAAACAGGCATAAAATGGACCCACACAAAAAACTTGGAGGATCTGGACTTCACCGATGATATATGTCTGATTTACCACAAACTGGAAGATATGCAAGTGAAAAGCAACAAGTTGGCAGAAGAAGCATCCAGAGAAGATAGGCCTTCAGGTGAACAGAGAGAAAACAGAGGTGATGAAGATTCCTGGCCAACAGCAATAGCAACAACAACAGACAATAATCAGCATAAATGGGGGAAATCTGAAAGAAGCAACCTCCTTTACCTACCCACCTACCTGGGAAGCATCGTTTCAACTACAGGCGGGCGGAACTGATAAGGGTATCAAAGCGAGGATCGGGAAAGCAAGGCAATCTTTCATTGCTCTCAAGCCTGTGTGGAGATCAAGAACACTCAACATGAAAAGTAAGATCCGGATTTTCAACTCCAGTGTGAAGTCAGTGCTACTTTATGGATCAGAGACTTGGCGCCGCGTCGCGTCACGAAGGCCATTTCGAACAAACGACACACCTTCATCAACGGCTGTCTTCGCTCAATACTTCGCTCAAGATCAGATGGCCGGCCAGAAAAGATTAGCAATAGTGAGGGATCTCTGACAATGAGCGAACCAACCCAGCAGGAACCGACTGTGAATCGAATATGCAGGAAGAAATGGAGGTGGATTGGTCCTACTCTGAGAAAACCATCAAGTGAGTGATATCACACGCCAGGTCATCGCTCGAGTGGAACCCGAACGGGAATCGACGAGTTGGTCGTCAATGAGAGGGTGGGGTGACATGGAGGAGGTGATGTGACATGGGGGAAGTGATGTGAAGAGGAGATGAGAGCATGTGGGCAGACGTGGAGTCAGGTGAAAACGTTGGTGGAGAACCGAACGCAATGGAGACGTGCGGCTGAAGCCCTATGTTCCTGTAGGAATTAAAGGAAACAATAATAATAATCTTGTAAATTCAGAGGTTTCTTTACTTAACACTAATAAATGCCACTATGAATTACTTTTCTTAATTTTTCTTAATGACTTCTTAAAATTTCTTTTGTGTCGTGTATTAATTGACTCTCATCTTGATTGTTCTAACATTTTTTTGTCTTTACATTCACTTGATTCATCAGAGTGTTGCAAATTTTCAATTTTTATTTGTTGTCAGATAACTAAAAGATATCAGTTATTTGCATTTATTGGTCATAATGATTTTAATAACAACAACTTAAGACTATTTTGATTTCACAAGTTAAATGCTTATATATATATTAGATCGTTGGAGGCAATCGTAAGGAAGCCTTGGACCTGGGTTTCGTGCTTGTTGGCACTCGTCAGCGAGACTCATCTGTAGTCTTGAAGGAATTCATGTCCTTTATGAAAAGTGAATAAATGTCACCTAGTGTTGCAGTCAGAGACGTTGCCACTGAGCTAATCGTGAGCCCAAATAGCTCAGTGTTAACGTCTCTGACTGCAGCATAGGATGGCGCGGGTTTTAATTTCAGAAGGGACATCAGTTCCTTCAAGGTTGCAGATAAGCCTTGCTGACGAGTACCAACTAGCACGACACCTAGATCCAAGGCTTCCTGCCGATTGCCTCCAACCATCTAATATCATCAAATCAATGTACACCATGATGGCGAGCTACCTAGAATGATGGTCACATTGCCAACGTGATTGATAGAATTCAGTTTGCACAAAAGAAAGGACTAGTCACATCACACTAGTTACTAGTGTCCAACCAAAGAAACCTGAATGTTATTGTCATTGTGTAGACGGTACGTTTGATAAACAAAATCTAATCCAAATTTTCAGTGAATTTCCTTCTGATATTAAATTCACTTGTAAAGAAGAATATAAACGTAGCATTTCTTTTTTATTTTGGATGCTCCGCTTATTAGAAGGATTGACGTGTCAATAAAAAAATATCTACCTGGAAATTACATGGAACGGACAATACATCTATTTCCACAGTTCTATACCTGTGCATTGCAATCGGAATTTAATTTATTGCCTTAATCATAGAAAATAGATGTAAATGTTCCGATGAATCTATTCAAGATGAAATAGAGAATCCGAGAAGTAACATGCTACAAAATGATTATCCTACCAATTTTGTAAAGTATTACATATATGTAGAAGAATGCATAAATGAAAGTGGGATACAACAAGAAAAACAAAAAAGCTTCACCTGGGAGTGCAATTCAAAAGTGATATGTCTAGTAGTATTTCAAGCCACAGGCTGAACAAATCTATTCAGAGGACTTTTACGGCCACATAATTGCATACCAGTTACTCAACCAAACCTATACCTACGCAGTGCATGTTTACACACTCGTGAACATAATACTAATTTAGATTAGAAAAGGAGTAACCAGGTCAAATAGCCAATGATATCTTATCTCATTTAATGAACAGTGATCACCATGTCAAAATAGAAGAGGTACTTATGATCATATACCTAGTGCCAAACAATTTGCCGAAGGATATACGATTAAATTTTTTATCCGTAGCTGAAGCTGTAGGGATCAACAAGAAAAAGCCTAACCCATGCATGTACCCAAACAAGTACATCCAACCTATATGTCTCTCTTGGCATGCATAAAGTCATATTGGACATAACTACCTCATGTTTTATTAGCTGCCTCTACATCTTAACGGCTTCCTTTCTGACATTATTACTCCCTTCACTTATTTTACATGACACCATTATTATTATTATTGTTATAATAGTCATCCCTTGAGTTTATACCAGGCTTATCCTATTTCTTCGTTAAATGACAATAATTCACCAATATTACTAGTATATTTATAATACGCTATTTTATCATTACTATCGTCATTCATCATCTCACTGAACTAACATTCAGAGTAACGCATTTTGTTGGTTTGTAATCACATTACTTCTAATACAGCTAACTAGAAACTTTGCCATAGAAACATGTACTTTTATCGATTGTATATTCCCAAGCACGTCATTCACTTATTTAGTCCCACCGATAATGCATTTTGTATGTGTGCAACGAGTAATCAAAGCCAACTGATTATTATTCTATCTTGCACTTGTACCCTAATACACTTTCTGATATCATTTGAATTCGCTTTTGTTGGCTGCCGTATGCCAAAATCAATGGGTATATCACACAGTGAAACAGTATTATTTACTGGATGACGTTTCGAACAAAATTTATTGTTCATAATCATATCACAATTGATATGATTATGAACAATAAATTTTGTTCGAAACGTCATCCAGTAAATAATACTGTTTCACTGTGATATACCTAATAAACAAACTAATATGGAATTACTGAATACCACAGTGCCCAAGTTTTACACATATATCAAAATCAATGGGCTTAAAACTGCAGATTATGAAGAAGTTTTCAAAACGATCATCCGCTCTAGGTTATGCTTTTTCAGAAACAAAAATATCTGCGAAATGGAAAAAAAAGAAGATGAGTAGTACCTATTCTGCACATCGTCGGAATGCCTTATTATTATTATCACCTTCACTTATGAAACTATAGAGTTATCCCTCATATATATATCACTTCAATAAAGAAGTCTAAAATAACGATGACGCATGGAATATATTTTTGAATGGACTGTAAATAATAACTGGTAATGTATAATATCACTCCCTGATAAAAGTAGTACTTCAGTTTATAGGACATAAGCACAGAAAGTGGACTGTCCCATGTGGAATTCAATAACGAGGTATAAATTAATTCAGTAACATGCATGAAAAGGTAAAAGTAAAAAGATTGAAAGAGCCTCTGTCAATATATTAATTATTAAAGTATATCAATTATTTGTTATTATTATTATTACTGTTATTATTATCAAAATCATCATTAACATAATACACTAGAAATATCGTTTCACTATATACCTGGTTTTGGCTTTCGGCTTTTTGACAACCACTTGTATTTTTGGTGTCATAACAACGTGTCTGACTGTAATAAGAGTATTTTGTGGCAATGTAGGTGTTGGTTGTTGTGGCACTGCTGTTGGTGTCGGCACTACTGATGTCTGCGTTTGTTGTTGTTGCTGCTGCTGCTGCTGTTGGGGTTGTGGCTGAATTATTTGTGTTTGTTGTATTACAGGAGGCTGTTGGTTTTGTTGCTGTTGTTGCTGCTGCTGTTGTTGCTGTCCTGGAAATATTTGGTTATTCTGTTGCTGTGTTGAACCTGGAAATGGAACATTTGGTGGTGTAGGGAATGGTTGTTGAGGAGGCATTGGAGGGAATTCTCCCCTTCCAGTTGGTGTAGTTTCGGGCGGTGATTGAGGCTGGACCATTGTAGGGATCTGTGGTTGAGTCATTGTAGGGATCTGTGGTTGAGTCATTGTAGGAATCTGTGGTTGAGTCATTGTAGGAATCTGTGGTTGAATTATTGCAGGCTGTTGTGGCTGTATAACTGCAGGATGTTGTGGTAAAATAATTGCAGGCTGCTGAGGTTGAACGATTGCTGGAACCTGAATTCCATACTGATTAGTATGTGGAACAACAGTTTGAGGAACCACTATCGGAATCTGAGTGTGTACTGCCTGGGTAGGCAAATACACATGAGTGCCTAAGCTTGTAGCACTGTATGGACTTGCCAACACTTGTTGTGACACAGGCAATGAAACAGGAACCTGTGTTTGAGCTGGTAGCGCTATCGGTAAGGAAATTGTTGGTACTTGTCCATAAAGAAGTCTAGATTTTGGGTACCCTGTTGTTGTTTGAAATCGAACAGGAGCTATTATTTTATTTTTTGTTTGATAATCATCATCGTCTGTCCCATTTTCATGTCGTTCATCATCGAAGGGCATTAACACATCATCTGATTGATTATCTTGATTGTTCTCAGATCCATATTCATCGTTTTCTTGTTTCTCTTTCTCTTCTTCTTCTTCCTGTTCTACAGCTAAATTGCTTAACTGTGGAATGAAATATTCATCATCCATGTCTAAACCACCTTTACTATAACTTTGATCACTAAGATCTGCGGGTAATGCTGATTTTTCTTCTGTTAATGAGTCTCTTGCTTCACTGGCATCCATTAGTGGTAAATCCCCAGGATAATAATAAGGAACCCACATTTCATGCGGTACATAATATACAGGAGAACTGAGTACAATTAATCCACATAGTAGTAAGCATAATAATCTCAGATAGACTGACATTAGTAATTCTCTTCGTTTTGAATAAACTTTATCACTGGATTTCAATTGTTTATCTGTGCTGTTCTATTTTTCAATGTTCAATTATTCCTCAGAGACAAAGTAGTAACTTCGAGAGTAATATTTTATGATTTAATGAAGATTAAAGAGGAAGCCAATGATTGATAGGAAAGAATCAATTTTATTTTTTAATTATCAAAAGTTATCGCTGGCTAATCAGTGATAGATCAAGTGCAACAGTCTAATAATGAACGATCAACAGAATTATAGTTAATAATTGTCAACATGAAATCAATAGTCAGTAGCGGGGCATTTCAATTGTAAAATTGTTAAATTACGTATTTATCACTATCTAGTTTATTAATTGATTAACTGGATCATATGAAGGAATAACTTTTATATTGTTAGTTCGGGAATTTTGATGATGAGAATAATCTAATTCTATTCAGTGAGCAAGTTTTGTTAGTTTTTGATTCATGAAAAATCCCCATTCGAACATTAACAGAGAGAGAAAGAGAAGACCAGGAGTTCAGCGAAGAGTCTCTCTCCAGCGAATTCATTTTCACAGTTGTACAATAGGAAATATATATGAATGAACACGGAACAAAGAGTACTCTTTTCGATAAATTCATCATCAGGCTCTACAATTATATATACATTATAATGAATGAATGAATTAGTCTTATGAACGACATTAATGTTCAAATAACATCAAATCAATAATATTGATAGATTACAGTTGAACAGCATCAACATAAAATAAACTGAATGTCAGAAGAATTAGAAAAGATAATAGTGCAAATTCATGAGTTTATAGTTTCTACTGAGGGCCAGGGCAGTAATAGGGGCTGGCTGGACTTGCTTCTTTTGGACACAGAGCACTGGTTGTTTGAGGCGAATCGCAATAGCCTCTGCTGTTTGGAGCATGCGCTGCTTCGACGATTTTGGTAATTTGTTAGGCACCCGGTATATTATAGAGAAGGATTCGTCAATGCTGGCTGGCTTTGTGACCGGTTTGTACCAGATGGTCTAATATCGAGCTGTTAAAACTATTAGACCATCTGGTACAAACCGGTCACAAAGCCAGCGTAGAAGAATCCTTCTCTATAATATACCGGGTGCCTAACAAATTACCAAAATCATCGAAGCACCACATGCTCCAAACAGCAGAGGCTATTGCGATTAGCCTCAAACAACCAGTGCTCTGTGTTCAAAAGAAATAAGTCCAACCCCTACTACTGCCCCGGCCCTCACTAGAAACTATAAACTCATGAATTTGTACTATTATCTTTCATAATTCTTCTGACATTCAGCTTATTTTATGTTGATGCTGTTCAACTGTAATCTATCAATATTATTGATTTGATGTTATTTGAACATTAATGTCTTTCATAAGACTAATTCATTCATTCATTATAATGTATATATAATTGTAGAGCCTGATGATGAATTTATCGAAAACAGTACTCTTTGTTCCGTGTTCATTCTTCTGAAAATTTTAATGGGCATTTTTAATCAGTTAAAATATATATATATGAGTTATTTTGCATGCATGTAGAAGAAGTAGAAGAACAACTTGACAAAGACAATATGTTTCCGTCTTCTTCGCGTTGTAGAAGCCCTAGCCATTCAGTTAGAAGAACCAAAACTGTGGATACAAAAGAAAATTATTCAGCCACTTCTACTTTCATCATAACAACTCTGTTGATTTGACTTAACTTTTGCTTGTTTGCTTGTTTTTTCTAAATACTTAAATTTCTTGTGTAATTCCGTACTTCATTTTGTTTCCATGTTCACTCTGAGCACAACTCTTTCATCAAATTACTCATGTCGTTACGTAACTCTTCTTTAACAATCGTTTGTGAAAACTCATCACTTCTGTTACTACCCTCTTAAATCAACATCCAATTCCTCTGAATTCTTTTTATATTACGTGACTCCACCAAAAACTTAGTAATTGTATTTTCACTTGACAAATTCAATGTACACATGCATACAAAATGAACATTTATATTTGCTATTGTACAACTGTGAAAATGAATTCGCTGGAAACAGACTCTTCGCTGAACTACTAGTCATCTCTCTTTTATTAGTTTTACTGAATTCTATGCATTTCAATAGTACAACACCACTTTGAATTGATTGATTCGATTTTGAGTGTTGTTATGAAGTTGAATATGAACAGATTATCTACAAAAGTGTTCACTGACACTGAGGAGTTCATTGAGAATGACTTGTGTTTTTTGTCGAACATATATTTTAATATAGAAAAAATCCCCAGTTAGACATTTAGAAAACAGAAAGATCCTCATATTTGGCTCTACTCTAATATACATAGCATTTTTATTGCAATACACAACAGTTTACCAAACAAGGGGCGATATGTTTGTTAATAATAATTAAACAGTGTCAAAATGTCAATGGGTTGATAATTAACGAAGAAAATGAATACACATTTAAAAGGTAGAAATGGATAGAATAAATTAATTTTACAAGGATAACAAGTAATTAAAGATGAAGTGGTCAAAATAAATAAAAATAAAATAATTTGGACAATTATAATTTTTATAGTTTTTAAACGTTTAGGGGGAGGGGGCCGACGTAGTCCTGTTTATGCATTCTTTTAGAGATGGCCTCGGTGAGGAAAGTGGCTGTACAAATTTCTTCTGAACACATAGGCTTGGCTTCTTAAGGGGGATTCCGATTGCTTCAGCTGTCTGTGGAAGACGAACTCGTAGAGCAAAATTAAGATTAGTAGGAATGCAATAGATAATTTTAAATGCTGTATTAACATCAACTTTATGCTCAGTATGTACAAGGTGTGCTAAAATAGAGCTACGAATAGATCTTGTTTATCCCTTGCTTAACATGCTGGATGATGTTTGGAAATACGATGATGAACCTGCTTATATGTACACCCGATGTAGCTGGCTCCGCAGCTGCAGTCAAGCTGGTAGATAAACATTGAGGAGGCTAATTTAAGTAGTTTATCCTAATTTCTCGAACATAGAATAGGGGTGGTAGTGAAGGGACAACGTACGTCTGCTGCATAATAAGCTCTTTTAACTGCATTCTTCAAGCGCTGTGTTATGATTTCGCTGATGTTGTCACCGAGGAAGTGCAGTTTTTTGAACAGTGGTTTTTTCGGAACTGTAGCCATACTGACTCTCCTAGGTGCTGAATTCATATTTTTCTCAATGAACTTATCTGGATAACCATATTTTCTAAGTGATTCTCTAATAATCTTAAGCTCCTCATTGAGGCAGTCGTCTGAACATATTAACTTAGCTCTATGAACCAAACACTTTACCAGGTTACGTTTATATTTCAAAGATGCAAAACTCAAAAAATGAGTGTACTGACCTGTTGTCGTAAGTTTCCTATACACACTCCTTCTTAGTGTGCCGTCTTCTTTCCTTGCCATGAAGACATCTAGGAATGAGATACTGTCATTACTTTCTTTCTCTACAGTAAGGTTTATTGCTGAATAAGCATCATTAAACTTGTCAAGGATGTTCATTGCATCGTTCTCGTCTTTCATAACGAGAAATGTATCATCCATATATCGGCAGTAGAAATCCATGTCATTAATTGCTCCTTTCAGAGGTCCATTCTCTAATTTAGCGAGGAAAAAATCAGCTAGGAATGGACGTAATGGAGAACCCATAGCTACACCATCAGTTTGTCTGTAATATTCCTTATTGAATAAGAAATGAACACTCATTGTACATCTTAAAATAAGTTCCTTCAAGGTGGATACAGAAATCCCGATGTCTATGTTTCGTGCAGTAATCTCCTCACATATAAAATCCACTGTCTCCATTAACGGTACATTGGTGAACAAGGAGGATACATCAAAAGATATCATAAACTTGTCCCTCAATTTAAGATCTCTTATTTTTTCAACAAATTCAAAACTGCTGTTTACGCTATGTTTTACCAATTCATTATGCAGAGGTTTCAAGAGCTTCACTAGCCATTTTGCTGTTGCGTGATATGGTGAATTACACATGTCCAGCACTGGTCGAAGCGGCAAACCGATTTTATGCACTTTCGGCATTCCATATAATCTTGGTGTAACCGTGTCAGTAGGCTTTAAAGATTCATATAAACCGTCTATGATGCTACTTTGTTTTTTAAGTCTTTTTAGTGACTCAATTAGTTGTTTCTCCACTTCTTCTGTCGGATCGAGGGAAGATGTAATTTTTTGAAATTTTCGATGATCACTGAATATTCCATTTATCTTATCTATGTATTCAGTTTGTATTCGTTATTACTACTCCAGAGCCTTTTTCAGGTTTCAAAATCATTATATTCTCATTATTTCGCAGCTTATCTAGGGCTTTCCTGTGTTTCTTGGTCAATAAGCTATTCAGTTTCCGTTTACTATTTATATATTTATAACAGCAGTCCACTAGAGTTGATTTAAGACTTTCAACTGCCTCAGCTGACGACGGTGTCAAGCCTTCAGTTTGTGCAAAGAAGTTTTCGAACTGAACTTGCATATCCATCTTGTTAATTCTAACATGATTATCACAAAACTTGGTGCCTAGGGATAATACTTGCAAATCTATGTCATCAAGGACAACATCGGAAAAATTATAAACATAGCAACCAGGGTTAGGAGGAAATCACATTTCCGGAGTTTTGCTTTCCAGGCTTTGTAATAATTTGGTACGTTTCTTTTCCTTCCTCTTTCACATAATCCAGGAACGGTTTCTTCAAGTGCTCAGGGAGCTTGTCCACAGCATAGAACCTTTCTGTGACATTCTTTGACAATTCCGTTATACATGATTTGAGTGAGTCAATCTGATTCAATTCGTGACGCTTGAGTGTCTTACTATTTGAAATGATGGACAAAATGTATTGCTTAGATAAATGATTTCAGTGATATCGCATTCTCTGGGTGGCGTTGTTTAATTTTAAAGATTTCTAGACAAAATCTTCAGAGCTTTAGTAATTCTCCGTGAAGGTGATTTCTATTTTCGCTGATAAAATCGAAT